GAGTTGGCTGTTTTCCTCAGAAGCAAGAAAGGCCTTTCCCAGGACTTTCTTGGTACATCACTTTGTTGCTCAAAATTGGCAATATGACCTCTGCGTTAATAAGAAAATATTAGATTCACATGTTATTATCTGACAGTAGGTTAATGTGAAAAATACTGTATTATGAAAAATGTATTTCACAATATTCTAACAGATGCTGCTAGTATAATACCCTAATGTAGCAAATGCACCAAATGTGCCTGAGCATGTTTTTGACACTATTTTCATAAGTGATGATATATCCTAATTGAAACTTACTAAAATTATGTTTTCTCCTCCAACTGTCATGAAAACATACCAAACTATGTGTTTTGTGTACCCATGATTTAGGAATATAAGATGTATATTCCTTTTGGCTTTCTCCTCTGTGATTTAGAGTTAGATTTGAAAATATGAGATTTTATCCCTCCGAATACTAGTCCAGTGAGTTAATTCACTTCCCAGGTATGCATTAATTATCCTTAATCACTTATAAAGCCAACCGTAGACTTGAAGATTTGTATAAAACATTTTTAGATTTTTTTAAATTTGAAAAATCTGCATCTAAAATGTTTTAAATCTAGAAACCCATTATAGAAAATAGTGTTATCTTTTTTTGAACTTGTGGAGTTAATTCCCTTAGGAATCTGAAGAGAAAGTTCTAAATATTTATTTTTATCACCATACATTAATTTGTGTATATATTGTGTCCTTGTATTATGTAATTCTTTCATTAAGCCTTTTATCTTTTGAAATCCAACACACATTAGAAAAATATGAAAAACAGGGGCACCTGGGTGGCTCAGTCGGTTAAGGATCTGCCTTCAGCTCAGGTCATGATCTCAGGGTCCTGGGATCAAGCTGCTTCTCCCTCCCCTTTGCCATTCCCCCTGCTTGTATGCGCGCTCTCTCTCATAAATCAATAAGATATTTTTTAAAAAAAAGAAAAGTATGAAAAACAAAAATGTACAACCCATGTAAACTGCAATCCAGGTCAAGAAGTAAATGTTACCAGTACCCCCAGATAACCCCATCATGCCCTTCCCAATCACTGTACCTTCTCTCTCCACCCCTAGAGTTAACCACAGTTTTGACTTTTACATTGATCACTTTCTTGCTCCTATTCATGCATTTGAAATACTATGGTTTAGTTTTATCTGGTCTTTGGTTTTTGGTTTTGGTTTTTTTTGTTGTTGTTGTGGTTGCTGTCTTTAAATTTACACAAATGGAGTTAATACAGCCAAGTATCTTTTTAGGTTCAACATTTTTCACTCGAAGTCCTGTTTGTAAATGTAGTTATAATTAGTTTTCATTGCTGTGGAATGTGTACAGTATTGTTGCTGTATTATATGAACTCACCACAAAGTATCCATTCTGCTGTTTGGGGCTCTTGGGAACAATGCTGCTATGGACATTCTTTCGTATATCTTTAGATATGACATATCACATATTTCTGATGGGTGTATATTGGCAGGTCATAAGGTATATGTGTTTTTAACATTTTTAAAAGCCATGTTTCTTTCCCACCAGAGGGCTCTTGCAAGTTCCCATTGCTCTGTGTCCTAGCCACACTATTATTTCAACCTCTCTGTTGTATAGGGATACCTCATGGTTTTCATTTCCATTTCCCTCATTACTAATAAAGTTGAACAACATTTCGTATATTTATTGGCTATTCTGTAAAGTTGCTGTTCAAGTGTCTGGCTCTTTTTATACTGTGTTGTCTTTTTATTATTTGATTTATAAGTGTTCTTTACGTATTCTGGATTTGAGCTGATTGTGCAGTGTATGTATTGTAGACCTCTCTCACACCTAGTTGTTTGCCTTTTCACCATCCTAAAAGATTCTGCTGAAGCTCAGAAATGCTTAATTTTAACATTTTCAGATTCATCAAGATTTCCTTTATGATTCTGTCCTCTATAGGAAGCCTTTCCCTACCCTAAGATCATGAATATAATCCCCTATGTTAACATATGGATTTATCATTTTGCTTTTCGTATTTAAATTCAGAATTGACTTTTTGGTATGTTTTGAGGTAGGGGTTAATTTTCATTTATTTCTGGATGGATAATCAATTGTCTTAACACTATTCATTAAAAAGATGATCCTTTCCCCACTGCTTTGTAGTTCCACCCTTGTTGTAAATTAAGTGTCTGTTATGCCTAGGTTAATTTGTGGTCTTTCTATTCCGTTAGTGTATTTTACATTGTTTTTGTCACATTATCTTAAATAATGTAGCTTTATGATAAATTTTGATACTCAGTAGAACAGGGCATTCTACTGTATTAATTTTTATATTATTGTGGTAAGAAAATTTAACATGATGTCTACCCTTTAACAAATGTCTAAGTGTACAATACAATATTGTTAATTATAGGCACTACATTGTACAGCAGATCTCTAGAACTTATTTATCTTGGATACTGTAACTGTCTACTCATTGAGCAGCAACTCCCCATTTTCCCTACCTCACCCTTTGACCACCGACATTCTGTTCTCTGCTTCTGTGGTTGTGACTATTTGACATATTTCATATAAGTGGAATCATGCAGTATTTGTCTGTGTCTGGCTTATTTCACTCAGCATCACATCCTCTAGGTTCATCCAAGTTGTCACATTTCCTTCTTTTCTAAGGCTGAATAATACTGCGTTGTATGTATAGACCTCAAGCACTTCGGGACTAGCTTGTCAGGCTCCACAAAGAAACCTGTTGAGATTTCAACTGTTACTGCATTTCATCTGTAGATCAGTTTAGAGATATTACAGAATTGGGCTTTCTGATACATTACCATAGTATATCTGTGTAGCGCTTCTCAGTTTGCCTCTATTCACAGTTTTCTATGTAGAGGCCTCACGTATCACTTGTACATTTATTCCTAGATATTTGATATCTTATGCTCTAATAAATGCTAATTAAAAATTTTTTTTTTCAATTTTTATTTTAAGTGGGCTCCACACCCAGCTTGGGGCTTGAACTCATGACCCTAAGACCAAGGAGTCGCTCACTCTATCAACTAAGCCAGCCAGGCGGCCCTAAATGCTATTTTTGAATAAATTTTATTTTTAGATTTGTCGCTGGTGTATAGCAATGTATGGACTTAAAATTTTTACCTTTGTATACAATCGTAATTCATCTGTGGCCTTCAGATTTCTTTTGTACCTAATTACATAATCTGCACCTGAGGACAGTTTTATCTCCTCCCCTTCCAAATCATTATACCTTTTATTGCATTGCGCTGCATTGCATTTAGTAAGGCTAGGACTTTCACTGGATGGAATCTCCACTACAGTGTTGACTAGAAGTGGTAATAGTTGGAAACATTCCAAGATTTTTCTATTAAGTATGATGTTACACGTTGCTAGATTTGGTTTGCTAATCGTTTAATTTAGATTTTTAAATCTAAGTTCATGAAAGAGAAAATTCTGTAATTTTTTTCATAATGTCCTTGTCAGGCTTTCACTTTAAGGTTTTGCTAGATTCTGAAAGTAAACTGGAGAGTGTTTCCTCTTTCCTACTGTCTGGAAGAGTTTTCATAAGACTAGCAGTATTCATTAGAATTCACCAGTGAAGCCTTCTAGCTAAAGTTATTTAGTTTTGTTTTTTGTTTGTTTTGGAAAGGTTTTTAATTATAAATTCAATCTCTTCAGTAACACCGTTCAGATATTCTATTTCTTCTTGTGTGCATCTTCGTTAGTTACGGTTTTCTAGGAATCTGTCCATTTCATCAGAATTTCAAATTTGTTGGAAAAAAAGTTGTTTTTACTATCCTTTTATGTTTTTGTGGTCTATAGCATATGTAGTGATGTCTCCTTTTTCATTCCTGATTCCTGATATTTGTTATTCATACCTTCTCTTTCTTCTTAAATTAGACTCTCTAACGTTTATCTATTTTTATTACTCTTTTCAGATAATTTGTTTTCATTATCATTTAGTTACCATGGGTTATTTCCAAACATATAGGGATTGTTTTCTTTACTATGAGATAGTTTTGATTTCTAGCTGATTAAAAGACCTATTCTCAATGATTTCTGCCATTTGAAAATCTTCGCCATTTGCTTCATTTTTATAAATAGTTTTGTAAAAATACCACTGCGTGCTTAAGAAGATGTGTATTTCATAGTTGTGGGGTATGCTGTTCTACATATTACCATTATGTCAATTTTGCTTATTGTGATCTTCAAATCTTCTACATATTTACTGTGTCTGTTTGGTCTGTTACTAAAAGAAAGTATGCTAAAGTCATCCCCACTGGTTGTAGATTTGCCTATTTCTCTTTCTAGTTCTGACAATTTCTGCTTTCTATATTTTGAGCCCATATTACTAAATACATGCAAATTTGGACCTATTTTACCTTCCTGGTAAATTGAAAGTTTAAATTGAGTTTATCTCTTCATCTCTAGTAATGGTTATTACTTTAAAGCTAACCTTGACTGATATTAATGTAGCTACAATTTTCTTTTAGTTATTATTTGCACGATAGTTTCCCATCCTTTTCAACTTTCTGTTTCTCAGTGTTTTACATTATTGACTTATAAATAGCACATAGTTTTATTTATTTAATCAGAGTTTACCATTCTTTGTCATTAAAGACACAGTGAAGACATTTACACTTATTGTAATTGAGTCTGAGTCTGTGTCAATCTTTAAAGGTTAAGTCTTTAAACAACAATTTTTCACATTCCAAAAATAGTTCTTTAACACCTATGATTGTAAGAAATTTATCCTCTCTGATTTGTATATAAATGTGTAGGGATTTATGAAACCTTCTCATGTCCTATTATTTCTTTGACTGCTATATAATGAAAAGAGATCCAGGGACTAAAATACACTAAGAACATTTCTAATATAGTGTTTTGGGAATTTTGCCTGCAGCTCTTGTCTTTATTGTGATTTACCTAATTCCAATAACACAGCATTAATGATGTATCTCTTAATATATCTTTTTTACAAAATACTATAGAGATTTCATTCTTGATTACAGGGCTGTGACTCCCAAATGAGTGTGTCAGAAATGTCCTGTAGTGAAAGTACATCCTCATGTCAGTCTCTTGAACATGGCTCAGTTCCAGAAATTCTCATTGGCCTGCTTTATAATGCCACAACTGGAAGACTATCAGCAGAAGTGATAAAAGGCAGCCACTTCAAAAACTTGGCAGCAAACAGACCACCCAGTGAGTGAAAAAAAAATGTTTTAATGCTTATGTTTTCTGCACTTACGGGACTCTCAGTGTTAGGGGCCTCAATCTTATCATTTAGTCTTAACTGATCAAAATGAAATGGTACAATCATCAGCTAATCTGTTTCATGTTTTCTATTTCCAGTCATTTGGGAAGTAGAAAAATTTGAAATTCAAAATATTGTAAGGTGACAAGACTTTTAATTTTTCATAGTGTCTGCTGAATAAATTATCCCTATCATAGCCATTATCTTCCAATGCTAGAAAAAGGTAGAGTTTTTTAAAGTTAGTAATATTCCACAGATATGGTCAAGCATATGTATGGCTATTGGTGTCAACTGAAGAATGATGTGGTGTTTTCTGTCTGCATGCAGTACTATGAACTAATGTTAATAATTCTGTATTTTTTCTCTTTTCTCTGTTAAGATAATTTAAGAAGAAACTGTTTCTTCACATTTTTCCTCCTTTAATATTATAAATTAGTACTGCCAGCGAGTCTTCTTAAATGGCTTGGCTTTGCCTTTACCAGGACAAATAGAATAAGGAATAGTTTGATATTTCCCCTAGATGCAAGGAGAGGAAAACAAGATGGGGCACTGTGCCCTGCTCTATATGCCTGTCACTCCTCCCTCCTTATCTCTCTTCCCGCTCATGGGGGTGGAGGCAGATTATGGGAGTGCAGAGAGATCGTCGCTCACTAGACCTCCAAAACCGTTTGCCGATATCTGTAGGAATAAGTTGGGAACGTAACAGCTTCTTTATACTTCTCTGAAATTAAAGCTGTTAGTGTCCTAAGCTAAAAAAGTTGAAAGGAAATCTTGAATAGTAATGGCCACCTTAAATTTACTTAAAGATTTCTCACAGACTTGCTTAAAGCCATCTTTTACTCAAGAGTCTCAAGTAATTATTGGAGGGGAAACTTTTTGCTCCCTTGAATTAAATTAATTCATTTACCTCCAGATGTCTTCAACATTGTCTTTTTAATTCAAGTGAAAAGTCACAAAAATATATTTGTTTTCCCTAAGTAATATTGGAAACCTTGCTTCTTACAGATATCATGGAATGTATCTATTCCTGAATTAAAAGTCAGAAGGCCAAAATTATGTGTGTTCTTCTACCCTTGGATGAGTAACCTGACTCCCCTAAGTCTGTTTCCTCATATGTAAAATTGAGGTTGTGTCTGTCACAGGGTAACTGTGAGACTCAAATCAGATAAAGATGCATAAAAGAAGGATGGAATTATTATTGTCCCCTTTCTCCTTTCAGAAGGAAGAATTCAGAGGGAGGAAAGAAGCAATTACTAGAATAAACAGCTTTGGAAGTGGGACCTGGGTTCTCTTTATGGATACATACTTAGAATGCAAACTCAAATGGCCTGGGAAGTAACTTAAATGAACAAACTTGGCAGGTGAAAGATAAGGAGCATGGGGAGTCAGTGACAAATGCAAGCGTGCATACCCTGCCTCGAGACATTCAGAGTCAAAACTTCTGAACACTGTAACGGATAAACAAAATATTATGTGGGGTTACATCCAGCCAGCAGCTCTCAGCTTGCCATTCCTGCTTTAGCTAACAGTTTGATTGTTTGACAAATATTTAGCTTGAGATGCTAAAAGCTAGCAGAATGGAATGATATGCCTGCCTTTCTGTCCTTGCTTGTATCCACTCTAATAGAAACAGAGAAACCGGAACTAAAATAAAGAGAGGAGGGTGGAGGCAGGGTGGATAATAAACAGGTTGAGAGATTAGCATCCACAACTTAGAGTAGGTGTTTTCAGGTTAAAGAGTAAGTTAGAGCAATTTCCATTATTTTAGAATTAGATCTTCAATATCAGGGTAGTTAATGGTGTTAGCTGGGAGGCAGCTAGTAGGTAAATATAAGTCAACATTAAAATTAATTGTATGTAAATAAAATCTTAAAAAATAAAATTGTATGAAGTGGAGTACTTATAAAGTAAAATATAATAGAGTTTTATCAGTCTGTCTTATACTGTATATGTTATATAAGATTGTGACTTTTTGTATATACCTAGTTCTAGGCCTTGAACTGTGTTATCAACTGAATAATCCAAAGAAACAGTGGGAACATTGAAGAGCAAAACTTTTAATAGTCCTATTTTATTTTGTTTAAACTTAATTTTTTTATATTATATTGAAAGTAATAGAAGTATTTGAAATATTTACTACTGCATGGAGAGACTTCAAAACTTAGCATAATAGTAGTCCTATAATGACTTTTATTCAGTCTTTTATATAGTCTGATAATTTGCATGATTCTATGTTCAATGTGCTTTAGATCAAGAGGATATCATTATAAAGATGTTCCCCCTTTAAAACAGTGTAATTTTTGTTTAAGATTACACAAGGACCTTAAAAATTCTCATTCCATGAAATTTACCCAACAACCCTTTTGTTCAACCCCTCTACCTGAATTAAAATGCTAAAGTTTTGTGTTCTTCCAACTCCAGTGAACAGTGTTTCCTCTTTAATTCTAACCTTTGACCCTCTTTCACCCAACAATTGACATCTGGTCATTATTTCTTTTACTGCTTTCCACCCCCTGTTGTCAGATGGACTGTTCTGTTGTCTAAAACACTTGATAGGTGGACAGGTTTATATAATCCGAGGTGAGTTCCTGTAGAGGCTAATTGGATGTTGTCTTTTCATGCAAAAACAAAATACCCTAAAACTTGCCAGCAGTGAAGCTGTCCACCATGTTGGTTTCCAAAAAAATGCACATTTATTATCTGTGGTACTTTAAATAAAACTAACTTAGAATTTATCTCTGATTATGGATGATGGTATTCAGAGTACGTATAAAATAAGCAAAACTTTTTAAATTAAAGGTTTTATTTTTCATGTATTTTGATTCATACAATAGATATCTCATGAGAAATATTGCAATTTTCATTAAAATTAATTGAAATTTTGATATGAAGTACACATGATGGATCACCATGCTGAAGATCATTTGCATGAGTCTAAAGAACCTGAAAACACAGTTGTTTGAAGAGAGGGTTTATCTCCCAAATAATCAGGCAATGAACTGTTATGTTTCACTTTATACACTAAACATCACATCAATTTTTTTTGTAATTCATGAAAACAATTAAGAATACCATACTTTAAATTTCACATTAAATTCTGCCAAAAAAAAGAATCCTGTAGTATTTATTTTAACTATCCAAAAAGCACATTAAATGTACTCTTGCATGAGACCAGGAGAAAGTTTTACTTGATTTGCTAAACTTTGAGCCCTTAATGCATTTGGCTTCATTTTGGCCCTTTTAAATGTTTTTAAAATATATTTAAAAACCACATCCATGCAGAGATTTTTTTGACATTTCATCCTAAGCTGTTTTGATGTCATCTTTGCATTCTTGTCTTCTTTTTCTCTTTACCATTTGCCTTCATTTCTATTTGTTTGTTTATTCTTATTCTCTGAAAACACAGTGGAATGCTTTACAGTGTTGTGGCTAATTGAGCTTGCTAAGTGTTTATTAATGCTATGATGTCCTGCTTAGTGAAGCTAAATGGGGATGGGGTTGGGCAGGGGTGGTAAGGGGAGGTCAAGGATTGGGGTGGGAGGGTGGAGGAAGGATTATGAGGTATACCTTTAAATTCTGACTATGACGTAGAAGTAGTGAGGTTGAGATATTATGACCCACAAAAGATTTGCATTCTCTGAACTTGTCACATTCTATAAGCATCAGCATCAAAATGAAATTCGTTGCATTTCCATTAAACATGGTATACACCATATCCTTATAAAGTATAAACACTTCATGTTCTCAGCAAACGTCACAAGAAAGGTGTTTTGAGTTTGTTTCAAATGATATTTGTGGTATTTCTTTTTTTTTTTTTTCTGTAGATACATATGTTAAATTAACTCTACTGAATTCCATGGGTCAAGAGATGTCCAAATGCAAGACATCCATCCGCAGAGGGCAGCCTAATCCAGTATACAAGGAAACTTTTGTTTTTCAAGTGGCCCTATTTCAACTTTCTGATGTGACACTCATACTGTCTGTGTATAACAAACGCAGCATGAAAAGAAAAGAGATGATAGGCTGGATTTCTTTAGGTCTGAACAGCTCTGGAGAAGAGGAGCTCAATCACTGGACTGAAATGAAAGAGTCGAAAGGACAGCAAGTGTGTAGATGGCATGCGTTACTAGAGTCATGATGAATAGGGTAACCGAGCGATTACAATCCAAGGCAGCATTATCTCTGATTGCAGCATTACTGTTTTTACCTAGTCACCATTAGAAGAGCTGTTCTTTGAAGCATCATCCTCAACATTCTACCAGAATGCGTTAAGGTCTGCGGAAAGAGTGCATAATACTGACACAAATGAAGAAAAGATGTGTCTCTGGTAGAGCCTGTTTGGGAAATGAGACACTTCATCATTATTGTTAACAGTCCTCCAGAGCTTTAAGAACATACTTTTGGTTTGAAGTTAAGTTTACTTTAGCAAAAGAGCCAGTAATTTCATGGGAAAAAAAATCAAAACTATAAGTGATTTTTTTAAATCTGAATTTTTAGTTGCAATGCTGTTTTAGGATCACCCTCAATGTTAACCAGGAAACACATATTTTGACTGGCTCATCCCTGGTGTTGGAAGTGTTCTTTAAGCTGAAAAAGTAGGTCTGCAGCTCTATCATGAGGCATATCTAATGGTGAAGGATTTCAATTACATAGAAAATTGTTTTATTTCAGATATTTTCCCTTTGTGCACTTAGTTTCATTGTGCCTCAGTTCTTCTCAATAGCACTCAATCTCAAGTGCAAGCAAGTATTCATTTTCATAAAGGAATTTTTTTATATGTTATTTAAAAAAAAAAAAAACTCATTTTCTTCATTTGCCTCTGCTTTTGCCTGATCCAAAGAGACCCAGTCACTGGACTGGTCCTTTGCAAGTCTTTTAGACAGGTTGTACTGTAGAACCACGTAACTTTCTGTTGAAAGCACTTCCTGTATTCTTGTATTCCAATGTAGGAAGCTAATAGAGCAGGACTTTACTTTAAAATACTTTCAACAATTGACTCTTTAAAATTGTAGTAATGTGAAAATACATTTTTTACAAACTAAAAAAATAGTAGATAAGCTGTTGAATACTGAAAACAGTTCAAGTTAAATAAAATGTTAATTATCTGCTCTGAGAATGGAATGACCAACACTGCATAAAGCAGGTATAGTTCCAATAAGAAACTGTTCTCTCTCTAAATCTTCTTCAGTCTTACTTCGATTTGTACTTGTGATCTAAAGACTCTCCAGTTCTGTTTGAATCAGAACATCATGTTAAAAACAGTTCTGAGATTCCTTATGAAATTTCTAGTGACCTGTGACTAGATTTTATGAAACTTACAGATACGTTCTTCAACGTGATGTCATCCTGTGCCTTTCATGTAAGTTACATTTGCTCATACAGCTTGAAAGTTGTATTTGCAAAATTAGGCCTTCAATTTTTATAAATGTAAAGATTCCTCAGAACAGTGTCACAAGATCTTTATTTCCTCTGAAGTATGTAAAAGTTGTATAATGTGCTAATTTTTTTAAATGGCAAGGCATTTTCATTTGTTGTTTTTATATTTAGGAACTCTTATTAATCAGGAATATTATAAGCTGTTTTCTTTTTAATTTTGCTTCTTACCCGGTATATAATTTATGCATATACTTCATTAAAATAGAATATGTTTTGTATATATGAAAAATATATTCTTTCTTCTCTTTCTAATTTCTAATTAAACTAGACAAAAACATACTATTTACCAGTTACTAAAACGCAGCATACCATTGTTCTGAGTCCTAACTAAGCACTATATATTAGTGCTTGTTATTACACGAGGACTTGTTATTACCGCAATAACAAAACCGTGCATAGACATTATTATTTCAGCTTGGCTCTACTGAAAGACCTTAAAAGAAATCCAAAAAGACAGTGAACTCCTAATATTTTTTAGTTTAAAAAATGGCAGCTCTATGCACTCATATACACGAATTATAAGATAAAATACAGATGCTATATTGGGTGACCTGAGGTTTAAGAATGTATGTTACAGAGTTGGATTAAAGAGAAAACCCATTCTTCTATTGTTACACTAACGAGCTTTTTCCAGGGTTTTTTTTTTTTTTTTATAAATGAGTTAAGTTATAAAGTTAGAATCTGTATCAAATGGTGAAATATCTCACGTACATATTTTCAGCAACAGTATGGAAAGAGATTTGAAGGGGTGTTGTCGACCTTAGTGAGAAATTGGATTTAAGCGTTTCACGCAACAAGGATCTTTTCTGGCTTTGAAACAACTGACTGCATTGCTTAGAACTGGGATTTTCCTAATGGAAAGAGTTAGTCTTATTCGTAGCTGTAACAAAGCCTAATCAATAATCGAACACATTATGAGACCAGTGTGGTGCTTTCTCCTTCAGTGATGAAAAGACCTAACTAGCTGTTATTTGCTAAATCTGGCTTTCTTCAGACTCTGCCCAGAACTATGTGTCTGCTTTGGTCTATCATTACTGGGTTATCTGGTAGAGATATCAAATCCAATATGGCTTACAAATTAATCAACAATTTTAAAGGTTTTTCAAGAAGGACCCTACCTCCACCCCAGCTGCCAAGTCCTCAAAGATTATGAATTTATGTGTATGTGTATCTGTATACACACACACACTTGTAAAGGTGAAGGTGCCCTGGCTTTTTCAGATAACTAATTAGAGAAACATTTATCAAGTTTATGGATTATTTTTCTCCTCTGTATATTTACTAGAAATTATATTTGGTTTTGGGTGCTATTTACTACCATTCTCCTCCACACACAGCAAAATATGTATATTTTTATCTTGTGGATTGACACAACTTAGCGTAATTACTCCCCAAAATTTATCTGTTCTTTTAGAAAAAGATTAAATAGGTCTCGAGAGACCCACTTCACTCTACTGAATCTAATGTACAAGACAGTGCTACTGCTCTTTTGTGTGCTTAAATTTGCATGAAAGCGGAAAGGCAAAATCTTATATCTCAGCAGTTTGCAGCAAATAGGGGCCCACTGGTGGGCAGCAGGTGCTCTCTCAGAAACTTGAGCAAGACAACGCACTTTCTTATTGTTCTCTTGAAGTCCCCTAAGTTTTATAATAAAATGAGATAGTCCAAATATGGCAATTGACTGGCATTCATGGGAGCTCCTGAGCCTGGAATTACAGGCTTTATCTGTCTCCCAAATGAGCTGCAGAATGTAGTTGCTTATTACTGCCCAGGAAACAAAGGGTATTTCAAATCAGTAAAGAATTTGTTTAGTAGAATATCCTCCTACCTTTCAGAAGCTTTCTTCTATACTCTGTGTCTTCTGTACTGTCCACATTTTGTGTGAAATCCATTTGTCTGTCTTCTTACTATGCATTCAATGAATTCTCCATAATGTATTTAGTGACAAAAATAATAAATTGGACCACAATTTAAAAAAAGAAAAGTCAGTAGGAAAATATGGAAGCTACCTTGATTAGTATACACATGTTTAAGTGTAGGGCCTGGGAAGGTGGTTTCATCCAGGCTAGTGCAGATAGATGCCCAGGGCTACATGTTAAATCATTTTCTTGATACCCTCATTATTTTCATTTACTTATCAGGTGAATCAGAAGCATAATCACTGATCGCAAGGGAAGACAGCATCCATAGCATAAGAGGTCATAGAATTGAGGGTGTTAAGATGAAGATGGAGACCAAATGAGATCACAGCTTTTCAAGTGAACTGAGAGGCTATTTGAAGGTATAAATTTCAGATGAAGTAAGAACAGTAGTCACAAACAAATTTTTCCTGATATGAATAGAAATGACACAAATCCACTGGCCTAAAATTGCCATTCACCTAGATGGACTGGATGGCCAATTCATAGAGATTTTTCTCATCGATGGTCATTACATTATTTCACACTGATAGTTCTCATCCATCAGTTTTTATTTCTTGTCGTCTTCTATTCACCACCCCCCGGCTCACCCATGGCCTGCACTGGAGGTAGCCATCATCATCCCCACCAACCAAACTCAATATTGAGCAGACAGCTAAATATGCGATGAAACATTTTTTTTAAATTAACTTTTAAAACATCATCTGTGCCCACCAAAATGTATAATAATGATGATGGTAACTGCTGTAATTTATTAAGGTCTAGCATAATAATTTATTATTTCTTTTGATTCTCACAACAATGCTATGAAGTAAAGAATATTTTCAAATTTTATAGATGAAACTACAGCATAGGGGTTAAGCAGACTTGCCCAAGGTCATCCAGTAAGTAAGTAGTAGAAATGAGATTAGAACCCAGGTATAAATTACTCTAAAACCTATACTACACTCACTGCAATTGCATTCCCTCTTTACCAGTTGCAAGAAAAAACAGTTAGGACAACATTATATTCATCAGTAATCCCATCCACCTAATGGAATGGCAGAACTAGAAAAAAAGAAGGAAAAATCAGAGCTTGGGAAAGAGAAACACAAGACAAAGAAGAAGATCAGAGATTTTTTTTTCCCCTCAGGATACAAATGGTACTTCTGTGTAATATTTTGTAGATGACTTTTGATTTCCAGAGACTTGGAAACTAATTTACTCCACAAATTTAGCCTATACTTATATTCTGAAAATATGTTAATCAATTGGTTCTGCTCCTTATCTACTTTTGGGAATCCAAGATATTTTAATTGTGTATGATCGCCTTTCTATGAAGTAGATATCCTGTATCCTTTAGCAGGTATCTTGCCCGTATCAGTGGTGAGAGAAATGACCCTTTCTTCCTCTGTGCTCTCATTGTAATTTATTTATGTTTCTTACATACCCTTTATTAAGGTATAACTGCATTACAGCTAATTTTATTACATGTCTTTCTTTCTTCCTTAATAGTAGTAAATGCCTTGTCTTACTATCTTTATGTGCCCCTTGCTCATAGTAGACATATAATAAATACTGAATCGAATGAAGTTTCCTATAAAGAAATCAATAATACTGTTATATAGGTCTCAGTTTTATGAATCTTATATAATGCATGGATTTATTTATTCCTTTATTTTATATATAGATATTTGTAAGGGGACCTACTATGTGTCGTGTATTGTTCTAAGTGCTACAGATGCAGAGGTCGTATATTAGAGAGACAAAGTCTTTCTGCTCTCATGGAGCTTGCATTCTAAGGTAGGAAGAGAGCCAAAGAATGATATGCATTTAGTAGAGTACAATGTGGGATCAGAACAATCTTCCTGGGGAAGTTTACCCTTGAGTTGGATCTTAAAGAACAAACACAAGGAATATATTCTCTCCAAGGGCAAAATTTGAAACAACTGTAGTATGTCCCAAACTATGGTGTTTAAGAATTATTTTGAGAGCTTAATTTGTGTTCCAAAGCCCCACCTCCAGAGGTGTTTGTTTCATTTGGTCTGGAGTGGAGCCCACAAATCTACATTTTATTAAGCTTTCCAGGAAATTCTGTGTGAGATACCTTGATTTAGAATATTGAGCTCATGATACAGAATTACTGATAGCAATGTTTCAGTGTCCATAGATTAAATTTATAATAGTGATAATTAAGAGTGAGATTATGACTGGGGTTAGTGCTATTGATCTTTTATTTGTGCTTCCTTAAAAAGAAAAATATTTAACAAAAACATTAAAAGTGATGTTTAATTATGAGTTCCTGTACATTCACATTCAACACAACTTTTTCAAAGTGTTCCTTGGTATAATAAATTCTATTATGTTTTATGATTCCTGAAAATTACTTTGGTTTATGGTTCACATAGTCCCCTGTAAGCGGTCTTTACAGTGATAAATATAAAGCAAAGAGAGAGTCTGAGGAGCTATTTGTTGAGTATCTCTCTGTCGGTATTCTCAACGAAATTAGGCTGACCTGTAGGGAGGTTTATGGTAACAGCCGTAGATGGTGGCATTTTTCATTCCTGTGGATAGTCAGCTTCATTAACTTTTAACATTCTCGTCAATGGCTTCCCTGTCCTCACACTCATCAACATTAACCTCATTCCTGGATTCTTCACTAGCAACACCAATGTTTCTATCACCTCTTCTCCAATCTCTATTTCCTTGCTTCTTTCTGCTCTTTCTTAGGATCTGCCTTCCTCTTTCTGTAAAAATAAATACTGTGCATGCAGTTCATCTGAGTTTCTATCTTCCCTCATTCAAAATGTAGACATACCGTCTTCTCTCGTGTAATATTTCACCTGAATAGAATTTACATTTGGAAACGTTTTCCCCCCAACAAAGATCTGTGATTAACCCACTGAAAAATGTGGTTATTTGAATATTTGAGATGATCTGGTAGGGAATTGGGCTGTTTTGTAACTGCTGCTGTATCATTGTGTTTGGTCTGGTTATAAATAACCTGAGACCCGGTTAATGCAAATTTAACGTGAAAGTGTGTGATAGACGGGAATCATTAGCCCATTATCAAAAATGAGTCTTGCTCTTTTCTCTCCCTGTTTAGAC